AAATACCCTACAACAGATGGGCACAGGAGACCACTTCCTACGTATAACCCCAGCAGCACAGACACTAAGGGCATCATTGAATAAATGGGACCTCCTGAGGCTGAGAAGCTTCTGTAAAGCAAAGGACACTGTCTCTAAGACAAAAAGGCAACCCACTTACTGGGAGAAGATTTTCACCAACCCCGCAACTGACAAAGGTCTGATCTCCAAAATATATAAAGAACTCAAGAAACTAGACCATAAAAGGCTAATCAACCCAATTATAAAATGGGGCATTGAGCTGAACAGAGAATTCTCAACAGAAGAACTTCAAATGGCCAAAAGACACTTAAGGTCATGCTCAACTTCCTTAGCGATCAGGGAAATGCAAATCAAGACAACTTTAAGATACCATCTTACACCTGTCAGAATGGCTAAAATAAAAAACACCAATGATAGCCTTTGCTGGAGAGGTTGTGGAGAAAGGGGTACACTCACCCATTGCTGGTGGGAATGCAAACTTGTGCAACCACTCTGGAAAGCAGTGTTTCGGTTTCTCAGGAAATTCGGGATCAACCTACCCCTGGATCCAGCAATATCACTTGGGAATATACCCAAGAGAGGCCCTATCATACAACAAAAGTATATGCTCAACTATGTTCATGGCAGCATTGTTTGTAATAGCCAGAACCTGGAAACAACCTAGATGCCCTTCAACGGAAGAATGGATGAAGAAAGTATGGAATATATACATATTAGAGTACTACTCAGCAGTAAAAAACAAGGACTTCTTGAATTTTTCATACAAATGGATGGAAATAGAAAACACTATCCTGAGTGAGGTAAGCCAGACCCAAAAAGAGGAACATGGGATGTCCTCACTCATATTTGGTTTCTAGCCACAAATAAAGGACATTGAGCTTATAATTCATGTTCCCTAGAGAAGCTAAATAAGAAGGTGAATCCAAAGACAAACACATAGGCATCCTCATGAATATTAACCTTCATCAGGCGATGAAAGGAGACAGAGACAGAGACCCACATGGGAGCACCGGACAGAAATCTCAAGGTCCAAATCAGGAGCAGAAGGAGAGGGAGCACGAGCAAGGAACTCAGGACCACGAGGGGTGCACCCACACACTGAGACAATGGGGATGTTCTATCGGGAACTCACCAAGGCCAGCTGGCCTAGGTCTGAAAAAGCATGGGATAAATCCGGACTCGCTGAACATAGTGGACAATGAGGACTACTGGGAACTCAAGAACAATGGCAGTGGATTTTTGATCCTACTGCACGTACTGGCTTTGTGGGAACCTAGACAGTTTGGATGCTCACCTTACTAGACCTGGATAGAGGTGGGCGGTCCTTGGGCTTCCCACAGGTCGGGGAACCCTGATTGCTCTTCGAGCAGATGAGGGAGGGGGACTTGATCGGGGGAGGGGGAGGGAAATGGGAAGCGGTTGTGGGGAGGAGGCAGAAATCCTTAATAAATAAATAAAAAAGAAAAGAAAACAAAAAAAATAAAAGGATGAGGATGGAGGACTTTGCAAAGTTCTTTTTCCTATGTTGAGCAGTGGAATGCTCTGAATCTTTGTATAAATAGGCTCCTGTTTCATGAGTATTGGAAAAGAACTCACTTCTGAAGGAAGGTGGGGAAGGGCTGGGTGAGTCATCTTCAACAGAAACTTTACTCTTGGACCAGTGAGTGGGTAAAGGTAGACACTACCAGGCCTGATGGCCTGAAATTGATTCTTGGAGAGAACCAACTCCTTTGGCCTCCATATATGTATATACCATGGCAACCATTTGCCGACGTACATGTGTGTGTGTAATTATTTATATGTATTTTGTATATATAACATATGCATATGTATGTATATATATTTCACTACTTCACTCTTTCTGTGAAGAAGAGAATACTGGTACTTGATCACAGATCATAAAAGTGTTCTATGCAGTTTTTGGGAACCACAATTAGTAGCCTTCTTTGGCTTAACTTTTTTTCTTTTCAAATAATTCTGTGTATCCATTACCCAAACAGCCAACTGACTCAAATCAGAAGAGGTGAAAACAAGTCAGATTCCCAACTAAACATGACCAATTCTCCAGCGTAAAGACTTCCAGCTTCATCTGGTAAGACTGACGGGTAACCACGACTCAGCATACCCAGTCAGTTGTGCCGTTGTGCCATTGATGTGTGACACCCTTCAGACCGAGGAGGATTCTCCTTCAGTGCCTTGGAGTTGTATCTGATTTGGTTGAGATGTCAGTCTGTTGGGGGAAATGGGTTGATTTTGATTTTATTTCTTGACTGGGAATCATTTGATTGTGAGATGACATGGTGAGAGACTGAGTCAGGAGTAAGAGGCACAGTGGTAGAGGAAAGGAGAGGAAACCTCTTGGGTGTAGCTTTAAAACTATTATTTGTGTGTGTGTGTGTGTGTGTGTGTGTGTAGGAGCGCATGCTACCACATGGATGGTGTTATAACATGGATGCAGAGCTCAGAGGACAGCTGTGGGAGTTGATTCTCTTTCCATCATGTGGGTTCTGGGGATCAAACTTAAGTTGTCAGTTTTGGTGACAAATGCTTTTTCTGAATAAGTCCTCTTCCTTCTCAACAGCCAGGTGAAGAGTCTTTTTAAATCAAGAAATAAAACAAAACAATAGCATCTGTATTTATCCTGGAAGGCAAACCATTTCAGCCCCTCCAGGAAACAGGATACCTGAGCCTTGCTTGGGTAGGCAAACAAAACAATGCGGTTGGTCCTTAGGATGCACTATGGCTCTAGGCTATGGCCTGCTTTCTAGTGTGTTGTCTTTGCTAGGCTGTGACTGGTGTCAGGCCTTGAGATAACGGTGACAATGCTGCTGACTAGGACATCCTTAGTGACAGGCAGTAGGACTGTGAATGGGTAGAATGCCGGAAGGGTTAGCAGGTTAGCGCCACCAGCTCAGCTCTGTTGTTGCCAGACCAAAAGGGCCTGCCCCTTCTTGTCTCCATCTGGGTTAATGGCATCTCAATTTTACCTGTCTCCCAACTTAGAAATCTTAGTGTTTTTCTCACCTCCTTTCTCTCACCCCCCCATACAGTCAGCTGCCAAATCTTGCTGCTTCTAATTTTAAAATGTCACTTGATTCTCTCTCTCTCTCTCTCTCTCTCTCTCTCTCTCTCTTTTTCTAATCCTATGCTATTTCCTTAAAATAGGCCTCATCAGATCTTCTTTGGACTGGTACTGTACCAGCCCTATCATCTCTTTCTCTGATAACAGATTCCGCGATCCAGATTCTCCACATCGTTCTCTGCTTCACTGAGAACAAAGCCTTTGAAGTCATTTTTTCCCAGTAAAAGATCCTGTTGTCTCTCGTGCCTCTTGCATTCAAACCCTATAGCTAGCCCCCCTCCCGATGCTGAAATTATTGATCCCCAGTTAGTGACACTGTATAAATTTAGGAGCTGTGGCCTTGCTCAAGGAAGTGTGCCCCTTGGGCTAGGTTTTGATTTTAAAAAGCATCTATAAGTTCCCAGCATGCTCTTCTGCTTCCTGGTTGTTGTCCTAAGAAGTGAGGCTTTAGCTTCTTTTCCACATGCCATGTCTGCTGCTTGCTGCCACAACTGACTCCTATCTCTCTGGAATTTTAAGCCCAAGAGAGTTAGGTAGCGTGTAACACAGAGAATCTTGCCTATTGCCAGTTTTAGCATCTTTCCTACCACAGGTCAAGGCTATGTTTATTCTGTTTACATAATCCCCATATAGTATTGCTAATATTAATCCACAGTGAGCCAAATCATTCCAACTATTTCACTGAGTTCTAACCCAATGATCCTGATGGGCTGTAATCAGAATTTCTTCTCTTTCACACGTCTCTTCTTGCACTGAAGAATGTTGTTCACATTGTGCTGTGTAGGAAGAGTCCTTGAAGTAAACTGCCTTAGTCTTCTGGAATTCTGCTTGGCCTGCTTGCAAAAGATCATCACAGCTGGGCCTGTTGATTCCTGATCATTGTAGGAGGGTCGGACAGCGAGGCCCTATTGGACCCTTACAGGAATATCCAATTACCCCTCAGTCATTTGTGTGTGATTCTGCTTTGCTGAAGCTGGTCTGGTGAAGGGGCTAGGGGAAGTATGTGGGGGGGAAATCAAGGAGGGAGTTCCATCCTAGGCAGCCGTGGAGAATCCATCGTCCCTGTGGCTACTTTAAGGCCACCTGTGTTCCTGCCCGTACCCTTTACCCATTACTCTGTTTCAGCCTGACAAGCTCATTGATATTTCCCTGGGTGAGTTTTGGTGGAATTGTACCGAAGTTTGTCTTTGGGGCCTTAGGAGAAGAAATAGACTTTATTGAAATTTCTCCCAGGGAAGAAACCCTAGCAGCGCATGGTTTCTTGCTGAAGTAACGCCCCTTTAAACATTTCGCTCCTTGATCGCTTTTCTTCTTCCTGGGTGGGACTTTTTGCCTGGTTTAACTCTTCAACTTGTAGCATGGCCAAGTGACTAGAATCTTGGTCTCATTTATTTGTATATGAAGTTATCAATACCACTGAATGTGTTCCGGTTAAATGAGCGAACAGCTAATGCCAGAGTAACCACCCAACCCCCATCACACGTCACTACGAGAGTACTACCTTTCCCTAAAATGTAAGACACTTTTATCCCATTTCAATCCATGCGTATCTCTAGATTCTAGAATATTGCTTCCAAATTGCCGATGCCCAAACATGGGGTCCATTTATGCATACACTCGATATTACTATAATTTGAGCATTCCCCGTGTTGTGTACGCAAAAGCAATGGCCGGGGAACAACTCAAAGTCGCCTCCTGGCAAAAACGCTTCCATTTCCAGGTCCCCAGAGACTTCAAGCGACAAGCACGCCTCAAGAGTGGGAAACTCGCCCTGGAATCACCTTGGGACACTCCCGGCGCACGGGCAGCTCGGCGCACGCGCAGCGTCCACCGCTCCGTCCTCCCGGAAGTCGCGGCTCTTTTCGCCCCGCCCCTTGCCGGCTGGGGCGGAGCGTGCGGCGGGCCGGGCGAGGAGGCGGGACACGTCGGCGCTGCCTCGGCCGCCGCCGCCCCTCCTCTGGTTCCAGCCGCTGCCGCCGCTGCCGCTTCCTGGGCCGAGTCCGCCCGCGGCCCCAGTGGCTCCAGGTGCCCTCGCTCGCCCGGCTCCGCCAGCGCCGTCCGCCCGCCCGCCCGCCCGCCCGCGTCCCGGCCTGCCGCCCCGCCGCCGACATGGCGACACGCTCCTGTCGGGAGAAGGCTCAGAAGCTGAACGAGCAGCACCAGCTCATCCTGTCCAAACTGCTGAGGGAGGAGGACAACAAGTACTGCGCCGACTGCGAGGCCAAAGGTAGCGCGGGCTTGGTGGCCGCTCGGCCGAGGCCTCCCGTGGCCGTGACCTTCCCACCCTCCTGCGGCCCTTGACGGGAGGGAGGGCGGGCGGCCTCAGCCTGGGGCACGGACGGAGGTCGCGGCCTGAGTCTCCGGCTCCCGAGCCGGCGTCGCGATGCTGCCACCGCCTCGGGGCGCCGGCTGGGTGGTGCTGAGGAGGGTTGTGGGAGCCCTCCTGCCTCAGCCCGAGCTGCTCCGTGGGTGGAGTCGCCCTTAGGTCCCTGTCCCCTTCTCGACCCTCCCGCGTGACCGCGGCCTCCCGTTCCCCGCTGCCGCCGCGTCCCAGGTGGAGCCCTACCTGGCCGCCCACCTGACAGCCTTTGCGCTGGGCGTTTACTTCTGGTTCTGAAAAAGGACAGTGTTTTGAAATTCCACTGCATAAACATAATCGAGAAAGGCTCTCTCCCTTATTTGTATATATTATGAACCACATATGCACACGTATGTTGACTCTGGATCGCTATAGTGAAGAGGAGTTTGATTGCGTGTATCGTGTGTGTAAAGTGGGCTATGTTTAGTATGTTCATGGAGAGTTTAGTCGTTAGAGTCTCCCCACGACCCGTTGGAGAATATATGGGCACTACTTTGTGTGCTTCATAAACATAGAAGATGCATTTTGACGAACCAGAGATAAAAAAAAAAAACCACTAAATTTAGTTCAGTAGAAGGGCTTCTGCTTTGAGCCTTTGCGATAGATACACTATTTTTAGCTGATATGTTTTGTTTGGAGATGTGATTTATTTTTAATGTCTTGTAAGTAATATGGGAGGCATATTGCAGATAAAAAAGCAAAGCTCGTATGGAGTTAAGAAAATAGTTATTGTAAGTACATTTCTTTGATTATTAATAGGTAGTTGATGGGAGCAGAGGTCTTTGGGAATGCTGCCCAAGATTGCTGCATTATTTAACCTACTTTTCTTGAGGTCTTACTGTCTTCTCTCAACACTCTGCAAAAGAGTCCATTGCAGTAGACTGGTGGCATTTGAATAAATTGAGTCTCATAATGTCAGCCTTATCTCTCTGTCATAACAGCTGCTGGCTTACTGGACGAATCACATATACATGCTTCAATTAGAAATTTTATGAAGCACTTTTCCATATTCTGGTAACTTGACTGAGTCAGCTGTATGTCCTATGGAATCGTTAGGCAAGGCCTTTAAAAGAAGAGGTGTGCCTGATTGTCATGGGAACGTTTGCTTGCTTGATGCTTGGTTCTGCATGCGGTTATTTGTTAATACTGTTCTGTGTTAAAGCTCAGCTACTTGCTTACCTCGTTACTCATAAACACTCAAAAATGGTTTTCAGAAACCAAGAAAAAGAAAGGGGCTAGAGTAAGTTTGCGTTTCATTGTCTTGAGTCATAACATTTAAGGTGCTGGTAAATGTGAAAGCTGTCTGTCATTAAAAAGTAAGTGATTCAGGGCTGGAGAGATGGCTCTTCCAGAGCCACCTGGGTTTGATTCCCATCACCCACGTGGCAGCTCACTCTGTAACTCCAGTTATCGGGATCCTATGCCCTCTTCTGGCCTCTGTAGCCAGCAGGGATGCAGATGGTGCACAGACACATGAAGATTGACACACATTTAAAAAAAATTCACTGAGTCAGTAAGTCTTTTTGTTTATAGAAGTAACTTTAAAATTTTTAATTTTTCTCCAAAACAGTATTGCAGAAAATCAGTTTTTCACTCAATGTGTTAATGGTTTTTCATGTGCTAGTTTTGGGAATGGAAGGAGAGTAGTCTCAGTCTTCTTTAATTAAGTGGTTTTACTTCTGAAAGGTAGGCAACATTTGTTTTTATCATTATTGTGTAACCACAGAAGTCAATCCATGTATGGTGAATGAACAGCTTTATTGTGTGTGTGTGTGTGTGTGTGTGTGTATATATTTCCTTTTATCTTGAGATGTGGAAAAGTAGGATAAACTAGTATCAAGAGCTCAAAGGGTGGAACTTGAAGGTCATGAAATCTGTTGTCATAATTTAGAAATATTTTTTCTACTAAATCTGGAATAATATTAAAGCACTTTTGTAAATTATTTCATTGTTTTATCTTGATACTTCAGGAAATATTCACATGTAGAGCCATTTCCTAATTAGGTTTGATTTTATAGTTTTGTGTGTGTGTGCTGGAGAAATCAAACACCAGTGATTTTTTTTTTTTGTTTTGTTTTTCGAGACAGGGTTTCTCTGTGGTTTTGGAGTCTGTTCTGGAACTAGCTCTTGTAGACCAGGCTGGTCTCGAACTCACAGAGATCCACTTGTCTCTGCCTCCCAAGTGCTGGGATTAAAGGCGTGTGCCACCACCGCCCGGCAAACACCAGTGATTTATACATGGTAGGCAAGTAATTTTACCACTGTTTTATCCCTGGCTTTTTTTTTCCTCCCACTTTGTTTTGTGATGGGTTCATATGTAGTCCTGGTTGATCTGAGTCTCATGATTTTCCTGTCTCTGTCTCCTGAGTATGCATTGCTACACACTGTATAACTTTAAATATATTTCTGTAAAGTTTTTGTGTCTTTGTTATGGGTGAGCTGATAATGGCATATTCTTATAGTAGAATTCTTGACTTTTTGTATGAGTTTTCAATCTGTTGTTATATGTGCCAATAATGTAATAAATGTAGGATATGAAGTTCTAATTAAATGTACCCATGAAAGACACAAGAATCTTAGATCAGTTATTGAGACGTTCCATTCTGCATATGTATCGGTGTTTTCCTTGCTGAATAGTAATTGCATTGAACTCTTACTCTGTCTTAGAACTATTTCCTGGTTAATTCTGTTTTCTTACTTTCAAAGACTATTTTCCCCATCCTTTGAGAACATGTACCTAAACTAAAGCGTAGGGTTAATAGTTACCCTGTTCTGTTACCTCCCGATAATTAGTAGAGGAATGCCAGTTGGATTTTGACATTTTCTTAGTCACTAGCTTGTATTTCCTGTACTGACAGTTTTAGTAAGGAAGGAGAACATGATGGCACAGGTGCTAGCTAGTTCCTGCTCCTGACCCTGTTCGTCAGTACATTGTACAACTGGAGAGTGAGAACTGCCAGGTGCAGCTGCACATCTCTGGCTGTCTGTGACTGTGGGAGTTAAAAAGCAGTTCTCTGGGTTATTAATTGATGGCAGTGAGGATAGGAAATTCCTTTGCCATCTTAAATTTGGTTTCAGAATTTAGAGCTTTATCCATAAGTAATACTGGTTTTGATCTTTTTAAATACGTAAAAAAATAGAATGAAAATTATTCTCTTGTTCAGTAGTTAATTTTAGGGCAGTCAGAAGTTCATGTTTTTGAACTCAGTAGTTCATTTTGTTCAAGCTTTCTAGTATCTGGAAGAGAAGCTGCTTACTTAGATCAAACACTTCTTTATTCCACATGTCTTTAGGACAGTTAAGCACTGGATTAGGTTTTGGGGCACAAACATTTGTAAGACTGAAAAGAGCGTGTTTAAAGGAGACTGAATATTGGAATAATTCTGAAAGTGTGCTGAGTGCAAGAGTAGCAGCTATAAGACGCAACCCCCTCTTTTCTAGCTCTTTCCCTGGGTCTTGACCTTTGCCCATTGGCTTTTCATGATTCCCAGAGTGTCGCCCCATGCCTTTTTACATACTGGTCTTACTCCTACCTCTAAGCCTTCTGCCTTTTTTTTTTCTCCCCTTGCTCAGCTTCTACGCATCTTTACATTTTGCTTAAATACCTTTTCCAGGGAATCAGTTCCCCTTCATCCTCCCAGACTGAGTTATGCTTTCATTTGTACATTTGAGACATTGCCCTGAATCTTACTTACACAATTATAATTAGAACATTACTGAAGTAATGATTGGGCATTCCATATTCCTGTTAAATGAATTATAGCTTTGAAGGAGAAGAGATCTTGTTTATCTTGCTCAGAGTCGTTTCTTCAGCCCTAAGCTCAGTGAATGACGTTTCGTAGGTAAATGGAACTCAGCAAATACCTTTTGGTTGTATGAATGAATGGAAGAATGAACATGGAAGCAAGGTGTGTGAATGAGAGTGCATCTGTAAAAGGGAGTGGCATTTGTTAATCACCGGAGTCTTGGGAGTTAAGGCAGTGTGCTTTGGCTAGGTAGAGCAAGAATTAGACACAGCTGTATGTCACACAGGGTACGGTATATGAGAGGTACAAGTGGTTTCTGTGTGGCCATTTTATTTTGGTAATCAGTCACTAAGTATGATCAGATTTGATAGTGGCAAATCAGAGGAAGAGTCAGGATGGTAGAAATGATTAGAAAGTCATTTAGTGAGGTGATGTTTCCTAGTAGACAACGGATGAGGATAAAGGGATTGTCAGTGTATGGAGCAGGGTGTAGAGCAATAAACAGCCACTGTATCTATTTTTTGTCAGGGACTCTAGAAATCATTGGGAAAACTGCAGGAAGTAAAACTTAGGAGTCATTTCTGGACTTTCACTTCATAGGCCACACATCCTGCCACTGTTGTCTTGGCCTGATTGCCAGGGCTGCTTTTCACTCTCACGGTTGGTGATAGGTGGGAGGATTGAGACACTGTCTATTAGACATTTTTGTCAGTTGTCCCTACTGTAGGGGTACGGCTCATACTACATTTGTGCTTTTCATGTGCATGTAGTTGGCAGAATCTAATCAGTTCAGACACCTTGCCTTCTGAGGAGTCTTGTCTCTTTCTAATCTCCTCAGAAAGTAGAAACAGCTGAGCTCGTTTGCTTGCGAGAGCCAGTCCCAAGAGTTAACAGGGGTTTCAGAACAGGTTTTAGTGTGTGTGTTATTTTACACGTGTTGGAGAAAATTCTTCTAGAGGAACTTTTACTGAAAAGTAAAGTTTACCCTGGGGAGCTGATGTTAATCTTACAGAATTAGTTTATATACACAGAGGTGTGTGATTATAATTCTTTTAAGAAGTTGTCAATTTGAGAGTTTTCTCAAATGCTGAGCCTTAATCTTTGTGGCTCTGTTGTCCTTCG